CAGATAGGTTAATATTTCAGTAGCATACAATAAGAATTCTTCACCAATGCAAAATAATAATTCATTCTGTGTGTGTGTGTGTGTGTGTGTGTGTGTGTGTGTGAGAGAGAGAGAGAGAGAGAGAGAGAGAGAGAGAGAGAGAGAGAGAGAGAGAGAGACTGGAGGTTGAACCTAGGGCATTGGGTATGCGCAGGTAGCTACAGGTAGCTAAAGAGATTGCCTGATGCATGAGCTGTACTGCCTGCCTCGGCTTTGTTTCCCAAATCCTGATGTGAATTCCACCACATGATTTTAAGTTGGAAATGGGGACAGATGTTGTTATACTTGTGTTCATTCAAACAATTGCTCATGTGCAAATTCATGCCCATTTGCATACCTACTGATTGAATTTGCAAATGCATCAGCTTTTTAAATAAATGTGTGATAATGCTTAAAGAATGCATACACCTCTCTCTTTCTCTGCATGAGAAATCTTCACATTATCTCAGTTCAGAATACCTACAGAAGAACTCCAAGGTATCTTGGACATTTGCAAAGCATAAAAGGAGTTGGATTCCCCCAAAGGAAACAATTTCGATGATTAACTGAATATACCACTCAACATCATGGAGACCTGTCCTTACCAGTTCAAGTTTACAAGCAGTTCATCGTCTTATAGTTCATCAAACTTTATATAATTGTGTGTCTATTGTCTTTGACACAGAGTCTAGCTGTGTGTCTCAGATTGGCTTAGAACCCATGGCATCCTCCTTCCTGAGCCTTCTAAGTGCTGAGTGTTCAGGCATACATCACAGCGTCAGACTATCACTGTCTTTTGAATGTCTTCATTTCAAGTTGACTTCCGTCCTCCTTCCCCTTATGTTCTTTACTTTCCCTCTCTTCTCATCTGACACTCCTATGAAAATGTCTAAAGGTTTTTGCTTTAGTTTTTGCCTTTTTCTCTGTGAAAACATTACCAATGGCCAATTCATGGCATGCTCAATTTGCATCTAAAATATCATTTGTTTAAAAACACAATAAAACTTGAAATTGACACTAATATTCATTCCAAGGGCTAAGGCTACAGATGAGTTCTGTAGCTTGGCTAATGCTGTCTTGTTCAGCATTATTCAGAGTAAATTGACCTTCATTGAATAAACCATTTGATGAGTGTTAGAAAGTAAAGAAAGCTAATGTTTGCTTTCTTCTTGCTTTTTGTTTCTTTTTAAAAAAAATGTTATGATCCTCTTAGGAGCCAGGTTTTAAAATGTAAATAGTGAAAAGAGACTGATAAAAGGTCTTATTTTATCTGATTATAAAATTTCCATATGTTTCTCGAAATCTTTTTTTAAAATATTTTTCCTTTCTTATTTTTTTTTAATGTGGATCTCTGGCCAAGAGGGACCCCGTGCTGAGTACCTAACCTCTCTGGCTTACAGAGAGGAAGCTGGTGTAATAGAAATAAATGCTGCATTTTCTCTGTATATAACATGTCACTTGGGCAAAGTGCTATGGTGTCTCTTTGGTAAAGCTGAAATGCGGATTTCTCAGAAATGTCTTGTTTTCAGTTAATGATATTTTCTGCCTTTCACCAGGTGGTCTCTTTGGGAGTTTGTGCTTGAATTCATTTCTGTGTGTATACACCAGGGTTTCTATTATTGGTTCATTCAGCAGGCATTGACCGAATTCTCTGCACAGTGAGGCCTGAGCCACACATGGCAGGGACCAGCGAGTCACCCTCATCCTCTAGGGCAAAGAACATGATGATTATACATGTTATAGTAAGGACAATATTAGAGATTTAAGGGGGGTGGAGGAATCCAGAGAAGAATGGGTCTGCATAGAGATGAGCTGAATGGGTCTTGACTGCTCTCAGAGCATTTTCTGGGCTCAGTCCACACATGGTACATGATACCAACTCATCCGAAGGTTACCTTAGGAGAACCTGTCTCCCCTAGAGAAAGCTGGAGATTCATCTTTCTCTCATGTAGCATTTCATAAGGAAATTCAGCTTCTGGAAATGGCCAAACTTTCTATCCCTACTTGCGAGTCAGCCCCCAGTGACTCTCACAGCAGAAAAAAGGATTGATCATTGGCTTGTTACGATTCCCTCGTGGCATGAGCTTTGAGACCCCGGAGAGCCTGGTGAGAGTACAGCCGTGGCTGCCATCATCACAGATGCTGGTGGATTTTCTGGGCCAAGAGTCAGCCTCACATCAGCTGCCCTGAGACCGTCCAGTCCCCTCACATTTGGACCTTATTTCACAATAGGATGTGCCTGCCCAGGGAGAAAAGCTGACCTTAGCATCCCAGCCGGGAGTCTGATCGCGCATCTAATCACCACAAACACTAAACCATTGTTTCTAGTCACAGATGTTAATAAAGGAAGTCTAGTTTGTTTATGCTTTTGCTTCATTTGGCGCTAAGGAGATATCCTGGCTGTCTTCTTTGCAGGCTGAGGTGGGCTTCTAAAGATGGAAGGCAAATATACTATTGTTCCTTAACTTTTCAACATTTTCTCAGAAAACAGAAAAACAAGCAAACAACATTAGCATGTAGGGAAGACATTCATTCTTTCTTAGGACAAATACTTATGGAATTTTAACTTATTGCAGGGCATAGGATTATAAACTCACTGTATAGAAAGTTGTAGCTTCTTAAGAATCAAAAAATAATTCACAAACTCAAGTTGCAGATACAACTGAGAAGTGTAAGGCTAGCTATCAGAAGTCCTGGACAATCTCTCTTCCTTGATTTCCTCTGCTGATTCCTCTCTGCCCATCCACCTCCTGGTGGTTGGTCTGCTTCAGTGGATCTCAACCTTCCTAATTCTGTGACCTGTTAATTCAGTTCCTGGTGTTGTGGGGTCCCCAATCATAAAAGTTTTGGTTGCTACTCCATAACTGCAATTTTGCTACTGTTATGAATCCTAATGTAGATCTCTGATTTGCAGGATATCTTATTTGTGAAAGATATCTGCTTTGTGACCTCCAAAGGGGTTGAGAACTGCTAGTCTAATTCCTAGTTCTCCGTTGCCTTTCTGTGTGGTCTTCAAGTCATCGTTTTCAGTTTTTGTGTCCAAATCCAGAGATGCAGAGCAGAAGAGAGCTCACTGGCCCAACAGGCACTGGCGTCTACCACAGTTTGAGCATCTGGGAAAATTTGGGTGGGAGACGCTTTTTCTTGTTTGATGACAAGGAAGATGGAATCTCTAAGAAAGTGGTATACGTGAAGGAAATGGTTGGGACACTCAGGACAAGCCCCTCTGTGCTCACCTGGTCCTCCATACCCAACCCTGCTGACTGCCTCTCTCTGGACTCCAGTCACTACACTCTACAGAAGCTATATTCCCCTTTTTATTGAATACACCTTCTGAAAATAAGATTATTAGTACTGCAGCCTCTTGGGGCCACCAGTAACTCCCCAGACATGAGGAAGGTCTTCCATTGACTTTCATATCTAGCTACTCATTCCTAGAGATCAGAGCATCAAAGCCAGGCTTCCTGAAGAATGTTTTCCATGAAGGAAAATTTGCCCTGTTGAACACACAGATCCATGAGTTTCAACAACTGCAACTGGTCATGTGACAACCCCAGCATGAGCATATGGGATAGCTTCATCTCTCTGAAAAGGTTCCTTGATCCTGTTTGGAGTCAGTCTCCTATCCTAGCCCCAGGAATCACTGAAATCTTGGCTGTTCCTGTGGTTTTTGTCTTTTCTAGAATGTCATGAGAACAGAATAATAAGAAAGCATGGAGTCTGCCTTCTTTTTCTGGGCAAAGTGGATTTAGATTCCTCCACGTGCCTGTATCTATCAATAGATCATTTTTCCTCTTTCTTGCTGAGTAGCACTCTTAACGGTGTGGAAGCATCACTGTGTGTATATTCAATAGTTGAAGGGCATTTGGGCTGCTTCCAGTTTTTGCTGATTTTGAAAATCTTGCTTCAGACATTCTTACTTAGATATTTCTCTGAACATAAATCTTGCTCTCTGGGGTAAACTCATAGGAGCAATATTGTTGTGTTGAATAGCATGTGCCTATTTAACCTTATGAACTGTTTTCTTTTCCATTGTGTGAGTGAGTGAGTGTGTGTGTGTGTGTGTGTGTGTGTGTGTGTGTGTGTGTGTGTGTATGTATGAATGAGTGTGTGGGTATGGGGATGCATATGCTTTGGTGTGTATGTGGAGATCAGAGGACAACCTTGAGTTTCAGTCCTCATCTTCTTCTGCCTCATTTGTAATTGTCTCTTTCTTTGCAATATATGCCAGGTTGGCTGGCCTGAGAGTTGCCGGAGATTCTCCCTCTCTGTATCTCACATGGTTGTAGGAACACTGGATGACAGATATATTCATGGGGCCTAGAGGTCTGAACTCAGCCAAGACCCTCACCCTTAAATAGCATTGCTTTCCCCACTGAACTATCTCCCCAGCCCTATGAAGCTCTATTAAGGGAACTGGTACATATTATGGTAACGTTGGTGTTGAAACCCAAGCCAGACCCTCCCTAGATCTATGACTTACTATCGTTTATTAATGCCTACATGGTAGTAATAATGTCTTTACAAGTTCAGGGCAGTCACTTATTTTTTAAAGAGTTATTTTTATCTGTGCATATTATGTGATTATGGGGTGTATACTATGAGTGTAGAGCCTGTGGAGGCCAGAAGAGGGCACTGGAGTCCTTAGAGCTAGAGTTACACACAGTTGTGACTGCCCAACCTGTGTGTTAAGAATAGAACTCAGGTGGTGATGTGTGAGTTGGCTGTTTGAAACCTGGGGCCTATGCAGGATTGTTTGGCTCGGCCTGGGAGGAGGGGACTAGACCTACCTGGACTGAGTCTACCAGGTTGACCTCAGTCTGTGGGGAAGGCTTTGCCCTGGAGGAGATGGGAATGGGGGGGGGGTTGGGGGGAAGGTGAGGGGGACGGGAGGGGGGAGAACAAGGGAATCCATGGCTGATATGTAGAACTGAATTGTATTGCAAAATAAATTAATAAAATAAAAAATTAAAAAAAAAAAAAAGAATAGAACTCAGGTCCTCTGAAAGAGCCATCCCTGTTCTTAACCTCTGAGCCATCTCTCCAGCTCATTACTGCTTTATTATACAGCTGCATAACATCCCCGCATCTTTGCATACTGTGTCCTCTCCACCACGCTCCTTCTGCTGCCTGAACACGCCCACCGCTGGTTAGGCCACAGGGCTTCCTTTCCGGGAATAGTTGCCAGTCACCATGCTCCTCATCACCTCCTCATCCTTCAGTTGCTATACTTGCTATCTATAGCACCTTTAGTGCTGTTAATACCTGATTTTTTCCTTTATACCATGAAACATTACTGGCCTCAGAAAATGTACCATGTAATTTTTGTTTGACTGGATGCTTATTAAGATAAATTTTGACTCATTATAAATAGGTAGCCCCTTTACTTAGTTTCCTTAACTGTCATGTTGACAACATTATAGTATAGTATTTCATACCAGATGTGTATATTGATAAAATCCATGGATCTTATTCACATTTCTCTAGGTTTACTAATTTTTATAATATGTGGGGAATCAGTGTCCACCATAATCAAGATATATAGCAGTTCCATATCTTCATTTGTTCTTTCATAGCTATACCTAATACCCACCTCTACCCTTCCAAGACTTAATTTTTGGTAAGTACTAATTCTTCCTTTAACAAAATGTAGATACCTCAAAATCACAACCATGCAATAGCTAACCTCTGGAGTTTACTTCTTTATCCCTGTGGAGATTCATCTACACTGTTATTTATCAATAGTTGGTTTATTTTTATTGCTGAATAGTGTTTCATGATATGGACATACTGTTGTTTCTTAAGCATTCACCTATTGAAATCTATCTGAAATAATTCATAATTTTAGTTATTATGAATAAAACCACCATGAGCTTTCATGTACACATTGTTGTATGAATATAAGTTTCCATTTCTCTGAGATAAACTCTAAAGTGTGAATATGGTAGGACTCGGTTGTGTAAGAACTGCTTCAGACTGATAGTTTTCAAGTCTGTCTCTAATAATAAGTTGATTTCAAGTTCCATCCAAGGAAATAGTCTGAGTAGTATTTGCTTGCTTGCTACCTGTTTGTGTTTAATCACTGTGTATGGGGAACAGTATACAATCCTTAGAACATAATTTACCACTCCATAAATATTTATAGATGAATTAGATGAGGAATGAATGGGTGGATGCATGAATAAAAACTTTGACATAGAGATTAAATAAAATGATGCAAGTAAATGATTTTAAAATGCTGAGCATGGGATGAGCATGGGATGAACTTCAGTGTCCATACATAGGTTTTACATCATTATTATTGGATGTAATTTTGGTTGAAAGAGACACAGCTCATCGGGCAGTCGTGGCACACGCCTCTAATTCCAGCACTCAGGAAACAGAGGCAGGTAGATCTCTGTGAGTTTGAGGCCCACCTGGGCTACAAAGTGAGTTCCAGAAAAGGCACAAAGCTACACAGAGAAACCCTGTCTCAAAAAAACAAACAAAAAAAAAGAAAAGAAAAGAAAGGAAAGGAAAGGAGACACAGCTTAATGCCAATTTTCTTCTACCTTTACTGGACCAAAGATGTAATCATGTGACTTTATTCAGTTCCCAGAGAGATAGTCCTGAGGTTAGGATTGCAGTATTCTTGTAGAAGCCCTAAGTTTATTTCCCAGCACCCGTGATGTGCAGCTCATAATTTCTGACTCCAGGTCCAAGGCTTTGAGTTCTTTCTCCTTTACCTCTTTTCTGTAAAGATATGTCCTTCTTGTAAACATGTTCAGTAAAGCATGACATAGAAATTAGGTCTTCATGTTTTAAGTGGGGTCCCACTTAATCAAGAAGCATGCAGCTCTGTGGGCCACCTTATCTGTTGAACAAAAGCACAAGAAATAAATATTAGGAGGGTCTGGAATGTGAAACTGTGGCACCAGAGAGGATAACATTCTCTTAGGTCCCCAAGGTCTTAGAGTGTGAAATAAAAATTGTGGAATCCAATGGAGGTAGCATAGTCCTTAATAGAGAGAGAAAATTAGTCATTCACATTTGCCTGGGGAAAGTGCAGGTCCTGATAATGTCTTGATCTATGTACAAAGAGCCAGTAAAGACAAGCAGTTCTCATAATAAAAATAGAAATGAGGTTTTCCTGACAAAAATGCCACTGGAGTGATGAGCTGTCAGGCAGGATCTGGAGAGACGAGAAAGGATCTTCTTTGGTGACTATAATTAGGTTGCATGGAGAGCTCAGCCTATGCCAGCACCTCTGCCTCTTTCTAGATTCTCCATCAGGTTGTGTCTACAGGGCAGGGGTAGTAAGGAGATCAAGGATGGTTCCTGGAGGGTCAAGCCCTTGAGCCCCTCATGCCCTGTTGAGGCTCTGACCTGGGGTGTGATGGGGGAGGAGGGACTTTACTCTGTGACTTCGGCTCTTTAGATTTATTTCTTAAAAAGGAAAAGGAAGAAAATGTTTCTTTCTTTCTCTCCCAATATCCATTATACAAACTTTATTCATTACAAATAAACAATAAAAAATAATTTGAAAACCCTGTAATCACTAACATAATTAATAATATTTGGTGGTTTTTCTGATGCATTGCCTGAATCTAGCTGGATATTAGAGATTGGTATCTAGAAAAAGATAAGTTCAGAAGTGAACAGTATGGATTAGCAATATAGATTGATCTTACATAAGAGAGTGTATTGCTTTTTTGTGTGACTGTGATCAAATCAAATCATCTGAAAGAATGACTTCATGGAAGATTCACTCTAGCACACAGTTTCAGAGATTTCAGTCATTGGTTGTGTGAGTTCTGAGACCATGGTCAGGCAGAACATCATGGAGGTGGGAGCATACGGCAAAGGCTATGCACCTCGTGGTTATAAAAGGATAGACTGAGGAAAGGACTATCAGTGGGGTCTAATGTTCAGAGGTACACCCTGAGGACTAACTTCCTCCAACAGCTTTTTAGAACCTCCTCAAAATACCACTCTTCCCTCAGAGTGGAGCCTTCAGCATATGAACCTATAGGATATATTTCATTTTCAAACCATAACAGGGGGATATTTCCCAAATAAGTGAGTAGCTGGGCAACCATGCATGGTTCACACATGTTTCCTGTACATTATTATGCAAATTTTTATGCCTTTTAAACTATCCTCCCTAGCTTTTGTTTCTGAAGCCAGAGGATATAACATAATGGAACATTCAAAAAGATAGAAATGTGTATGGCTAGCTATTTAACCAAATCCAAACCATTCCTGGATACACTTCCTGGCTGAGGTCTACTTGGTTATGATTTATGGAAACAAAGTAGTGATAGAGTAACCTTGTATCTTCTTCAGATATCAAAACTTGAGTTCAGTCTTCAATGAGCCTATGATAATTTGAGATGCACCTGGGGGCTGGAGGAAGCAAGATCTACCTGAACTACAGTTTAGAAGTTGTTCATCCAATATAATTTCTGGGAAAGAACCTGCCCTCAGAGAGCTCCAACATCCATCATGCATCTTTTGGATATTCTGAATTTAACTTCATTTTCTGCAATGCGTGGTTATGGAATAAGTAGACACACTATGGTAAGGAAAACACACTCACCTGAATTAGCACCCCAGTCTGGGAATTTAAACTAGTTTCTACTTTATCTGCTTCTCAGTTTCCAGGCCTGTAGAATGGGGTAGGTGATATCACCTTGCTGATTGGAATGCTGGGAAGATGAAATGAGATAATAAATGTGAGACATTTGGCACAGTACCCAGCACACGGCAAATGTTCAATGATTTTTGGCTTTGCTAGTTTTTATGGTATTTCCTGGAATTGTGTACATTGCAATAGGGCATTGACTATGCAGGAGAAAATATATTGGAATGGCTTTGCTGGTGAGAGACAAGTCTTGGAGAAAGGGAACATGACTGCCTGCTGAGAATCTGAGTGATATCAGAGGAAGTATCAGCACCCTGGGGTTGGCATTTTCGCTAAGAAGGCCATAAAATATTGATATCCACATAGTTACCCAGAAGGACACGGGTGCCAGATGCTGCCTGCTGCACAGGAGAGTCTCCAGGAGATATTTGTTGCAAGTTATGAGGAGGGTAAGCAGGAGAGCCAGACAGCTAACAGGCATGCCAGTTACTTCTGTGGTTGAATACACCAGGGTAAAGGGAGAATATGGTGGTGAACCAGCAATGAGCTCTCTTTAGAAAGGGCATCTTCCTTTCTTCCTAGCCTAGAAGAACAAGTCAGAGGTCAATTATGTATCACTTTATGCTTCCTTCACAATCAGGAATTGCCATATCACACTGCCACCACTGCATCCATCCTCATCCCTATCCCTATCCCCATCATTATCTTATCATCATTGCCAGCCATCACTGCCATCATCACCATTATTAGTACTACTTTCATCTCCATTATTAACATCAACAGTATTGCTACCACCATCACTGTTATTGTTATGCCAACCACCACTATCACCATCAACCTTATCAACATCATGATCAGAATCATCATTAATCATCAGCAATCATTAGCACTACCATCTTCATCACCAGCACCACCACACATCACTATCATTATCATCTTCACCTACAAGTACCACCATCCCTATCAGCACCATCACTGCCACCACCACCACCACCATCATCTTTGGAGCCTATGTACATCATGCATTTAACAGGTTCCACATACTGCCTAAAGTGATTTGGTTGCATTAGTCTACGTTATCCAAATTCAAACTTGAAAGGAAAAAAATAATCATGTATTTAGTATTTATAAGTCACCCAGAATTCAAAAAATCCAAATAATTTATCCAAAAGTCACCCATCGAGGACTTAACAGAGCCAAGATTGAGATCCAGGGAGCCAGTTTCCTAGTCCTTGTAGCCTTCTTCTCTTAAGAAGACAACACAAGATCTCAGTCATTTTTTTTTTTTTTTTTTTTTTTTTTACCGTCTAGTGTCTCTCTCTCCCTTTTTTTGAGAAAGAGGTTGTATTTGAAACAGAGTCTTCCTATGATGTCCTCACTGGCCCGAAACTTTTTGTCCCACCTCTGGCTTCCATGTGCTGGGATTGCAGACAAGTACCATTGTACCTGGCAGCATGTCCTTTAAATTACCATTATTTTTTCCCTGTGAGAGGATAAGCCTGTAATCTGTGCCTCCCAATATCACACATAAAACTCATGGTTTTCCATCACACACATACATTTATACCAGCAGACTCCACCATAGAAGTCAATGTTTCACAAAACACCATCCAGAATATAGATACAGGAACAGAATTGGAGATGAATTTTATGTCTAATAGGAAACTTTTATGGTGAATCCAATCAGAGAGAAGATAAGTCTTTGATGAACACTAATATTTGAAAATGAGAGTATAGATAAGTAATATTGTTTTCAATTCGCCCCAGAGCACAGTTCACTCTTTTAATGTGTTACATGATGTTGAGAAAAATGCTGATTCATATGCTAAGAGTTGGTAAAAGTAATTATTTTAATTAGATGACCTTAAAATATATAGTTAGTGTAGAACTTATAGTCTGTATCTCATCTTACAGTCATGGACTCTCCAGGTCTAGGTGCTGTGTTTGACTCAGCAAATGCATTCAAGGTGTGACTGATAAAGAAATATATAAATTAAACAATTGGTAAAGGAAACAGATAGGAATCAGAGAAGCACAGGTGAGTATGTCATTTATGAGTTTTCCCATTCATTCAGCCATGATTTCACCAGAATTTGCTATTAGATAATGGCTCTTCTAATTCTCAGATCAGATCAGAACTTCTCACAGAACATGTGCCTGCATATGTGTATAAAATGGAGTGTCAAAAATAGACAGGGAACTCAATGCTGTCAACACCGTGCCACTTAGAAACAACAGGTTGCTCCCCTAAACCAGAAGTATGGCATCCTCCTGGATAACATGGTAATATCTATATGTGCCTAGTTCTGCCTATGTGAAATTCACCGGACACTACAGAAGGCACTATCAGGTTCATCTCTATCTCAAAATGGCAAGACATAAGAAAATACCCATTTTACTCTGTGATTACTAGTTAGGCACTGAGCATTTTGGGATTTGTGAACTCATATCCTTAAAGAAGGTTGAAGAGGGAGACACACATCAGGAGACACACCATTATGCACTGGGCATAAGCAGTTTACATGACATTGGAGGTGACTGGCATTGAAGCTGAAAAATGGGATCATTTAGAAATGCTAGTTATGTTACAAAGGCGAGAGACATGCCCCAGACCACAGCAACGATTAGCATGCACTAACAGTGGAAGCCATCATTGGTTTAGGTTGAGCATAGTAGGATTGACAGGCCTGGTTGTATACAGTTGAAAGTCCTCTATGGGATCCATAGATAGCAAGAGTTGGGGGCAGTTCAAGCTGAGAGCAGAGGAACTTATTTCTGTAGAAGAACAGACATCTACTATGGACTAAAAAGATGAAGGTGACTCACTGGTTCAATGGCAATGGAAGAAACTCAAGAGTGAATTTATAGCTGTAAGTTGGGAGAGATGGAGTGATACAATTTGAGAGCTGGGTTCATGATTCAGTACGGCATGGGGAGATGTAAAGAGCACACTCTGAGGCTTCAGGTCAGGTAAGTGGAACGGAGGGACTTCCATGAGCAGCCAGTTTCAGGAACAAAATGTTTGGGGGGAAATTAAAGTAGCAGACAGGATTGGGTCTTGGTCCCGAGGCATTCTGGAGGCTCTGTGAAATTCATGTGCATTCCTGAGATATGTGCCCTGTATGGAGATGTCAGAGCTGTAGCTGTGGTGAGGATTGATTCAATCAGAGCTGCCTCAGTGCATGTTAGTATTGCCACAATTGTGTGTGTGTGTGTGTGTGTGTGTGTGTGTGTGTGTGTGTGTGTGTGTGTGTGTGTGTGAAGTCATGAAAGGTAAGAATGATTAGGATACAAGAGGTTTTGGGGGGAGATGGCCCAGTCAGTAAAGTGTTTGCCTTACAACGAGGACCTGTGTTATGTCCCCAGAACCCAAATTGAAAAATGCGAGCAGGTCTAATTCCTAGACTAGGTGAATAGAAAGCTTCAGTTCAGTAAGAGACCCTGTCTCAAAAAATCAAGTGGACAGCATCCTGAGGAATAACAGCTGAGGTTGGATTCTGGTCTCCGCAGGTACACACATTTCACCCAACCCTCCCAACCCCCCCACCCCACCCCCATCTGCCTCTCTGTGTCTCTGTGCCTCTGTCTATGTGCCTCTGTCTCTGTCTCTCCCTCTCTCTCTCATACACACACATGATAAGAGGCCTGATAAAACACACACAGAAAGCACATGCCTCCAAGTGGTGTCTATGTAGGACATGAGTCTTCCATGCTGCATATGAGATGGTCTAGCCAGCCAGAGAAACTGACAGCTCTTCTCCTGCACACTTACATGCTGAGAGCATTGGTTAATTACATCTGAAGCCAGGTAAAGGGAATGATAGTGAACATGATAGATCATTTTTCAGGAACAAGAGTTTCAGTTCAGAAGAACAGTTGTAAAGCACCTTCAGGAGAAGATGGTGCCCTCAAGGACAAGGGGACCATTGATGCTAAGCTTTTGAGGATCAGGAAACACAAAACAGACCACTGAAGATGAGAATATATAAGCTTGCTTTCAAAGGGAAGAGAAAAGTCAGGGACACGTTAGTGCCTGAAGAATCCAGTCAAGTCAATGGTGCTAGAGCAGCCAGTGTCTCCATTGAGGATGGACTGTGTCCAGAACCCTCCAGAATAATTTCAGTTGTCTAGTTCAGTCTCCCAGTTTTACTGGCTATCATACATACAGATATAAGGGGGACATGGTGAGGGACTTAGCTTCATGTGTGAGTCTTTGTATTTAAGCCCAGAGACAGTACATATATATCTCAACTAACAGGCCAGATGGGGTTATGGAAATGTGAGATGCCTGTCACTATGAAATGCAACTCCTGTGCCAAGACTTGGAAGTCCAGAGAGCACAGATTCTATGGGATGAGATCTTGAGAATTAAGGAGCTTTCCTACCCAATAACCAGTCCATCTGCATCATAACCTTCTAGGTTTTCAGCAATAACCTAGTTTTGTATGTCCTTATATCCTTCCGTGCTCACCATTAACAGCCACCAGCCTTTGAAGGTGTACCTATAATACCGAGAACTGAGAGTCCCTGATGTTGCCTCTTACCTGTGTACCAGGACAAGACCTTGGCAAGGCTAAGGTCAAACTCGATTAATTCAGATATTCAGAGGTTAGAGATGAAGCTACATCTAGACAGAGAAGCTCATGGGAGACTCGGGTTTCAGGAAGATAAATATTTCTCATCATTTACAGGGTCAAAGAACCCTACAGCCAGGTCTATTGCAGTGGGGGGTAGGGGGGAATTCTCTGCAGGGTTTGTTTGCCTTCAAATTTGTTCAAGTTCCATGCAGAAAGTCGAAACACCAGTGGGTGGATGTGGAGGCTTCCCAAAGTAGACCTCCCCACCCACATATTCATTAGAAGAAATCACCACTTAGCCGTTTTTGTCTCTACCGCCTACCCTCCTGGGTCCCACGCTCTTAACATTCTGTCCTGTGTGCTAGGAGCCAACTCCCACCCTCTAAACTGCCAAACAGTGAACTCTCTCCCCTAGCATCTCCTCTTAGAACCTATTGTTTCAGCAAAGCTCCTATAAGAATAGAAGCTATTCACCTGCTCTGGATACTTTTTTTAATTTAGGGATATGCTGTGGATCTCTCCAGCCCTTTGACTAGTGTAATACAACACTCTCTGTAACTCCTCACTTTGGCCAGAGGTGGTGAGCAGAGAGTGCTGGTGAAGACACAGGAGCCAGGGGCTTCTCCTTTGAAAAAGTGAAAGGCAGCTGTGGATGCTGTGGTACTTCCACCTCCTGTCGCAAAAGAGGGGGTAGAAAGCTGAGATAATGTCACTCTATAAAAATAGATGTTTGGGATGAGCGATTGATTTCTGGGAGAGGAAGGCTTGTAGATTAGCTGGAATGGATAGTGCTGTGGGGAACTGCTTGCTCAGGTGAGGTACTCAAAAAGACTGAAACATTGATGGCGATGACGATGATAAAGGTGGTCATATCGAGGATGGGGACAACTATGATGGCATGATTTTGGAAGCAACCCCTTTGCTGCTGCTGGTACAGCTGATAATTGGAGGAATAATCCTTTACTCTGTTCTTCAAACCTGAATGAAAACCCCACTCTCCTCATTATTTACAAGTAAGCATACATTTATTTCAGCCTTGTATATTTTCACATGTTGTTGAGAGCCTTCAAAAGCTATCTTACAGGGTTATGTGAATGCAAAAACAAAACAAAAGCATTAGTTGCCATCTGGCCAGAAGTCATCTTCTAGAATATGTTACTCAATCCCTCTCCAAAACACAGAGAAGAATTGACCTCATATGTTATGTGAGAACCTGGATAGGAATATAGCAGATGACGACTAATGTATACATTTAGTTTGTTAGCAAGGTCAAATCATGCACTTAGCAAATCAGGTCAGGGCTGAGAATACTGGTGCATGCCTATAGTCCCAGTACTCAGGAGATTGAAGAGTGGAGACTGTGAGTTTGAGACCAACCTGAACTACATGGTGAGTTCAAGGCCAGCATGATCCTGTCTTAAAAAATAAAACAAAACAAATCAACATTGATGTGGCGCTACATGTCTGTAGTTCTATCAGTTGGAAGACTGAGACAAGAGGACAGTGAGGTTGATATTAGCCTGAGCTCTATATAGCCTGTCTTCCCCAACACAACCATAAAACCTCAAACAAATAAACAAAATAAAACAAACATACAAACAAATAAACAAAACAGAAGGCCAGGGCCACAAGGCCATGTCTATATATTTTTCTATAATGCCATGTTATTTAAAAACCTTTTCAAAAACAAAATTACATTTAGAATTCAGCATCCTGTCAATGTATTGACTTTACTGGTCTTGTATGTGATTTATTTACTTAATTATTTATTTGGCAAAAAGGATAAATGTCTGTTTCATTAACTCATTAGAGATTGATAATAAAAATAATTCATAATAATATTTGCTGCTGTTTGCGATTGTTGCTCGGACATATGTTCCAATCTCAGGATATATAACTATATTTTAATTTTTAACAAATTCATTATTAAAAACAATATTACTATCCTCCTTGAGAGAGTGGAATTGAGGTTTTAAGAGCTTAGAAGACACTATACTGTTTAGTTTAGTTTGGGCTTTGAGACAGGGTCTCACACATTCCAGACTGACCTTGAGATTATTTTGTAGCAGAGAATGGCAGTGAACTTCTGATCCCCCTGCCTCCACCTTCCAAGTGTGCGGATTGCAGCTATGCACCACCACGATTGATTTCTGCAGTGCTATGAATCCAACCAAGGGTTTTGCGCATGTTAGGCAAGCACTGCACAATAATGCTTTATCTCCACCTCTTAGTAGATATTTGCTATCAAATACTAAAGTATAAGCGTTGAGCCCCATGAAGTGGAGCTGCAAAGATAGATTCTCCTGCGCAGTGTACTGCATACCCTTTCATGAACCAGAAAGTTTCTGTGTACTTCATCCAGTTATGCTATAGGGTGGCCTTGAAGGAGCAGGGCTGTGTCATTGAGGAGAGTGAATAAACTCTGGTGATCCATCATAATCAATTCCCTTGACCTTTCTGACACCTCTTCTATGAGAAAGTCAAGCTGCTCTGTAGGTCAGAATGCTCAGAACTGGGAAGGGCATGGGGTTTTTGCTGCAGAGAGCCAGCAAGAAGAGGAGGACACTTACTCAGGCCTGCTAATTGTTTCCAAGCATCCCCATGACACTTACCAAGAATCTCTGATCCTAAGAGTGTGGGTTCCTGGGCTGAGAAGCACTTTCTGTTCATTATCTCAGTGGTTCCCAAATGCTGACCCACAGGCTCATCAGACTCCTCAAATGGCATTTCCAACAGACTGCAGCTAAATGAGAAAATCAAGGGCAATTTAGTGAAATTTTTAATAGAACTAAATTTAATCAATTTGAAAGGCCGTCCTTTATTTTGAGACTATGTCCTTCTTGCGTTTTTTTTGCTTTTGGATGTAAAATGCCCTTTCCTTTTTGAAGTGACGAAGCTAGCAGATGGTGTGTGTGTGTGTGTGTGTGTGTGTGTGTGTGTGTGTGTGTGTGTGTGTGTGTGTGTATACAGACCTCCTAACTTGGCCACAAATGTAAAAGTTGTTAATTTCATGCAGTTCCTGTTTTAAATTGTATTGTAATAGCTTCTGGTTGGAGAGGAGGGTAGGGAATAACGACCTTGCTCAGAGGGAGCCCTTCATTATTGACTCCATTTTACAGAAGAAGAAACTGGCATGACACTCACCCTTGCCTGGGTTGACATCCCTTACAAGTACCAAACTTGGATTGAAACCCAGTTGACATTTCTGGAAACTTAGCAAAGCTTCATCAGGTCCTACACTGTCACTGTAAGTGGTTCCTTTCCTGCCCCTGGCCACTTTCAGTTTAACTGGACTCTGGGATATCGTGAGGGACTGGAGTCCACAGCAGCGTTAGAGGCTCTAGGTATTTCCCTGAGGCTGCCCAGTGGCAGCTGTGTGCCTTGCCTTGACACAATAGAGTCAAGGGCACCTGGGAAGACCTGCATGTCCCTTTTCTCTGTGCCTGCTTTTGTTGTTTATGCTCCCCCTAAAACATGTAATCAGTGAAGATCGGTATGTACAGAAGTTAGCACCAACATAGTACTGCATGCCATGTAGCAGGCTCTCAAGTGACATAGGCCATCTCTGTATTCAGAAGCCAAGTTCATATCTGTGAGTCCCAGCAATAGCAGCCAGTGAGACAACTACATAAGAAAAAAGAAGGTAAAAGAAGATGGGATACCCTTTTTATACCTCTGAGCTTTCTTGTCATTGAGCAGGGAAAAGAGAGGGTCCTGCTGGAACAAAGAGTGTAAATTAATCTGTACCTTTTCCTGGTTTCTACTTTAGGCCTGGTGCCAAGTTAAACTGTCCACTCTGGGAGGAGCTCAACTAAGACCTAGACATACCCAAGCTTGCAAAGTAACCATAACCCTAATTTTCTACAGAAGCATATGCAAGATGCCAGCTCGCCAGTCTGTTTCTTAGCAGTCTTGATATCTGAGGAGGTGGTAGGCAGGGATTCAACTCCTGTCATTTATGAATAAATAAGTTAAATGTGTTTTATCCCTGGGAAGTTGTGCTTGAAGCAAATATGATGTTCTTCGATCTGGAAACCTTTCACCCTTTCACCTAGTATATATATATATATATATATATATATATATATATATATATATATATATATATATATATATATATATTGGAGGGTGCTGAGGCCCGAACTCAGGTCCTTGCATATATGAAATGTATTTCTGTTATGGTAGATGTTTGTGCACAAGTGTCCATGTGTGTGTGAATGTCATCTGTGCATGTGCCCTTGGAGGTCAGATGAGGGCATTAGATCCTTTGGTGCTGGAGTTACAGGCAGTTGTGAGCTACCTCACGTCAGGCGGGGCTGGGACCCAAACTCCTGTCCTTTTCCAGATCAGCTCACATTCTTAACTGCTGTGCAGTCTCTCTGGCCTTATAAGCTGGAGCTTTCATGATTATAACTGTGATAGACATGAGGTAACAATCATTATATTTGTTTTGTTTTATTTCATAGGTACATTGTGAAAATCCAAACAACCTAAATGTATACAGAGTGAAAATCAAATCCCCATCACTCTAAGGATAACCAGGCCCTTTTCTATGTATTTGGCATGCATGTGTATTTACATTCACACATGTATAAGTCCTTGCTATTTATTTATAAATGGTGGTCTTTTTTGTTGTTATTGTTTTAATTTTTAAATCTCTCTCTCTCTCTCTCTCTCTCTCTCTCTCTCTCTCTCATTCTCTCTCTCCCTGTGTGTGTGTGTGTGTGTGTGTGTGTGTGTGTATGTGTGTGCGTGTGTGTGTGTATGTGTGTGCTCGAGCTCTCCTGACTGCAGGTGTGTACATGTCATGGCAAGCATATGACAGTCTGGAGACAGCTTTGCAGAATCATTCTTCTCCTTCCAGCTCTTTGAGACAAAGCCTCCCTTGTTTCTGCTGCTGTGCTCCATGTCCAAGGCTGCCTGGTCCATGAGCTTCCTAGCACTTCCCCTAAGGATTTTGGGTTCACTTTCCATCTTACCACAGGAGTTCTGGGTCCTTGGGATCAGACTCCAGTGTTCAGGCTCGCCTGGTGAGCTCGTCTACCTGCCAAACCATCTCCCAGGCCTCAGTTGCTGGTTTTTATTGCTATTTGATTTGATTTCACAGCAAAATGTTATTCTGTATATTCTGAAGCTTTTTACAATACTTTCTTCGTGATTTCTCTAAGGGAAAACATGCAGATGCTTCTGTTCCTTCTAACAGGTGTGTGGATGGTAGTTACATTTTAAATACTCTTCCTCTATTGCTTTGTGTCATTTGCCTTTATAAGCAACATGAGAGTGAATATCCTGATACATACATATCTGTGTTCAACACTACTACCAACAGTGCAGATATTGGGAAGTGGAATAGTTCCCCAAGATGATAGGAACATTTTACATTTTGATAATCAATACCAAAATGTTATCTTCCAAACTCAACCAGTTTTGACTTCCAGACAAGTATGTGAAACTGTATGTCTCTCCACATCTACTTCAATTTTATTATTATCGGTAGGCATTTTACCTTTTAAATTGGCTAATTTTTTTTTTTTTTTTTTTTGGTTTTTCGAGACAGGGTTTCTCTGTGTAGCTTTGCGCCTTTCCTGGAACTCACTTGGTAGTCCAGGCTGGCCTCGAACTCACAGAGATCCGCCTGGCTCTGCCTCCCGAGTGCTGGGATTAAAGGCGTGCGCCACCACCGCCCGGCTAAATTGGCTAATTTTATTTGGTAATTACTGTCAATCTTTTGGGCAAAAGGCAATAATAGCCAAAATGACCATAGTTTTTATTTGAATTTATTTTTATTTTTACTTCTTAAAAAAAAAAACAGCATTTCAAATAACCAAGATTGGCTTGAAATTTCAAATGTAGTAGAAGACCTTGAATTTCTGATGTTCTTGCCTCATTCTTTCCACACGAGCACTTGTGTGCTGAATGTGGTGGCTCATACCTCCTGTTCCAACAATTGAGAAGCTGAGGCAGGAGGATTGCTGTGAGTGCAAAGTGGGCTTATATAACAGAGGAAGACCCTGTATCACAAAATTTAAAACTGTAAAAAAAAATTAAAATTAAAAATAACAGAGAGGCGAGATGTTGTAGTGTGTGCTCTTGAGATCTGGGTACAGCATGTGCTCTGTTCTTGTTTTGCAAGCGTGGCTTATTTTTAGTCAGAGGCTTACTGACAGCCCACACTCAGGGTAGAAAGCTCCAGGAGTTTAAGGGTTCTTTGTACCGGCAGAATTTGATCTCTAGGCTGGACTCTGTCATTACATGCAAAGCAATTGTAACTAAGAAGTTGGAATGGGCTCTGCCAGAGATGAAGCCCATTGCTCACAATGAGCTCATCTGAGTGAGTCTGAGGTGGAGCATCCTCAGTGACTCAGTGATAGGGAGTGATGCTTTTACCTGTAGAACTGTGTGTGAAAATGGATCTTTTGCAGAGTGACCTGGAGGGAGCATCAGGGACTGAGACCTAAGACTGGCAACTTAGAAGACATAAAAGGCTAGCCAAGAATTCATACTTTTTGAGTTGAAATAGACAGCAAGAGGTCATGTAATCCAAGTTCCTGTTGTATCCATCCATCCATTCACCTACCCACACATCCATGCATTCATCCTTCAAAGTTAGTATTATCTGAGTGTATCCTATGTTCTTAGGCAGTGCATTAAACTCTGCATGTCTAGTAATCAAAGATGGAGGTGAAAAGCTCTCCAATTTTGTAGCATTAGGAGTGCCAGCTCCCCATTGCTGTTTTGTGGATGGACCCCAGAGAGTTCCAAAATCCATCTACTAGATAACCCTGAGGCTTGGAATCAAATTGCAAAGAGCAGGAAGCAGGGGGCTTTCTGAAAGCTGTCACTGCATTTTACAGAGCGGGTACACTTGCTAGTATTGACTGCAGTCTCCCCATCCCCGACTTCCAGCATCCCCTCATCTGACTTGTCTCTTGCCCTTTTCCCAAAGCACCCACTCCTTTATGTTACGGTACAAGTTTACTTGCTTCTTATCTTCATTGTTTAACACACACACACACACACACACACACACACACACACACACACACACATGCATACTTGAATATAAGCTCTATGATGTGCGGGGTCTTTGTTTGTCCTCTCTGGGCCAATACATCTCTAGGGACTGGGACAGCCCCTGGAGTGAGGTTAATACTAACTAAATTGTGTTCAAGTGTTTGCAAGGCAGTCAATCAAAATGACGCTCAGGATAAGATAATAAATAATAAATTTCTCTAAAAAGGCTTCTTTTATTCTTACTTGATATAAGACTGAAAATATGTAGTTATGTGTATTAAAATTTGGAAGTGAGATTCAAATTTACCTAAGCCTCATGTTGATATTGTCACTGAGCCAACACAGTGGTCTGAATTACTTATGAATTAATTACATCCAAATGTCCTTCCTTCAGTCTTACCAGAGTATTTCTTGCTCCGATACAGTGCAATTCCCATGCAAAGATCCCTTCAAGGCAAGGTTTACTGTGTTGACAGTTTTAGGAAATTACAATAAAAAATGAAAAGAGGTGGAAATGACTTATTTCATTCTCTTAGCTCATTGACAAATTTGGGGGAGAGAGGAAAATGTTGCAAACACTGTTGTTGGGTCAAATAAGAACTTGGGCAGTTGCTTTCAAAGAAAGTACCATTTAAACATATTATTGTTCTTTGCTATCTTTCCTTAAGCCTTCTGGATTCTTACAGGGCATTTATAACCATTTAATTAAGGGTCCTTGTAGTTGAAAGCCAGCAGGGCAGCCCCCGAATGCACAGACAGTACATACATGCAAGTAATCTCAAGTGGCAGGGACTCTTCGTAGAAAGAAACGTGCATTCTCTTCCCTCTCTTTTCCTATTAAATGATGTAGAAAGAATTTCCTTTTTACATCATTGAGATGGGGTTGAGATTTATCACTCCTGGATGCCATCTAGAAAACCTCACCAAGTTTTGCCATTGGTATATCAAAATAATCACAGAAAGACTGTGCCTTTTGATTTGGGGGTCCTTCGATGCTCTACACTGATGTTGCTCACAGGGGAATAAAAGTCATTCCTCCGTTTAAGTGGCTTCTCATAGCCAAAGTGTCCAGGAAAAGAGCACTTAGTGATTGTATTTGCTCACACCGTGCAGGGACATTTGAGCTGGTTGGTCCAGAGAACAGAATCTGCCTCCAAATCATTTGGACTTGGTCTGAGGAGGGCTGTGAGCTCATTGCTTCACTGACAGATTCCCAATGTGGTTGATTCTAAGACAGCCATCTAAGGGGAAGAGGGAGCCATTACTTCAAAGTGGGTTTGAAGGAAGTCAATCCTCCCTGAGAATTTTCATGTTGGGAGGAAATAGGGCTCCTGGCAGGTGAGAACTCTTAGTAGCTCCTTCCAGGTTGTGTTTGTTTTTCATTAAACCATTCAGATACGGTCTTAACAAAGTGCCAGGTTTTACTTATCTCATTCCTTATGAAAATGAGCTGAAGAGAAATTTCTACCCTGTTCTTGGAATATTGTAGTTTCTCCAGTGTCAGACTGAAAAAATAAAAATAAAAAATAATTCATGTTGTTCAGAAAAAAAAATGCTTAAAGCAAAAGAAAAAGCTTGGGAAGGCAAGAGAGACCAGAGAGCCATGATCTCTAGTCTTTCATTCGTTCTCATTGGTTTGAGGAATTGCAAAATAAAACGAAGTACAAAGAAGGAAATAAAGAGAGAGGTACTTGGGGTCCGCGTGACTCAGAGCCTGTGTGACAGGTGCCATTGATTTCTGAGACGACATGAAGTGAGCATTTTTCAGGATTCTCTCTGTCAGCCCTCCTACCCCCAGTGCAGCCCCAAGAGCACCTGCCTTTGCTCTCCCAGCCCCTCTGAACAGCTACTGCAAAGGGTTAAACATGCTACTGAGTGCCTAGGACAGGAAAAAAGGGGGGGGGGTGCAACCAAGTGGTTGGAAGAAGGGGTTTGCAAGGTGGAAGGTGGAAATGAGCAACCAGTCAGGTTGGGACACAGTGGCAACATGATTTTGATAACATTTCAGAAGAACAGTGCTGAATTGTGGGATCATTCCTTTCCTGTCCATCAGAAGGCATTTTGATTAGTTTGCCAAGAGAATTGTGTCTTGCAAGCTGAGGGATCAATCCAGAAGGTTTCATTCTGCTGGAACTGTGTGGGGAACACCCGTGGGGATGGCCTTTGGAGAGGCCAATCCCAGGGTCCTGCCTCAGTGTCCAATTCTGAGAGAAGTGTTTCCCCTCTGGGGGCCAGTTCTATCCTGCAGAGCTGGTACCAGTCTTCACCTGGAATTCTTTTAGGGAACCTAGCAACCAGGGAAGCATGCTATCTAGTGGACCTTTGCTCTGAGAATAAAGAAGAAACCCAATCGCTGGCTCAAAATAAATCTATATAAAATATGGCAACTCTTCCTGATCATGATTTTACTATTGCCAGGATTTTCCCCCTTGTGGGAATCAAGGACGAGTTAGAGTCTTCATATTTTCTCTTAATTCACAGATCACATCCCTTTTTATTGCATAAAGACTAACGAAATCTACTAATGAATAATTATTACTTCATAAGATAAAGGGGAGGGGTGAAGATCCGCCTGCAAGAGTGGAATGTTAATTTGGCCAAGGAGGCCAAGCAAGAGGGGAAAATATAAAATAAAACCATTTCAATTTGCTCTCTGCATCACGAACAGTAATCTGTTATAAGACAGGGACTTTTGCCTACCCCATGTATTTATAATTTGAGAAGAGCAACGGGTTCTAGGCTGGGAGAAGGCCCCTCGTGTTCACCTCGAGCTGGCGTTTTAGAGTAACAGCTGCGCGAATTCTCGGGTTAAGCCGCACCGCTTGGGGCTGCCTGCCCGGGGTAGGCTGATTCCAGGGAGAAAGCAGTGCCCCCAGAGCAGCGGGAGGGGAGGGGGGAACCTCCTTCTCGCACCCCCACCCCGACGCAGCACCCCAACCCCTGGCGTGTCCATCACCCCCAAGCTTCTTACAAAAGGGGAATCCCTTTTCTTGTGTTTATTTGCCAAGGAGTCAGGCAAACAAACCGCCGGCCGGCTGAAAATCTCCCGGACTCCTCAGGGTCCCAGCTGAGCAGTCTTGTTAATGGTCTAGCTCCTTTGATTGCTGGAGATGTGGGGCGCTCATACGTTCGCTCTCCCTCTCCCTCCCCTCGGAATATTTTAGAAGACAACATTTAAATTTTGGCGAGTCCTTTTTAAAAAAGAAAGAAAGAAACCTACAACCCTGCCCCTGGACCTCTGACAAATGAGAAGACTCCCAGCATCAGCACCAAGCGAGTGAGCGACAGTGAAGCTGTGAGTCAACCCCCCTTCTCTCTCTCTCTCTCTCTCTCTCTCTCTCTCTCTCTCTCTCTCTCGTCTCTCTCTCTCTCTCTCTCTCTCTCTCTCTCTCTCTCCTCTCCCCCCCTCCCTTCTCTCCCCCCTCCCTTCCTCTCTCCCTCCTTCCACTCCCCCCATCCCCTCCCCCCTCCCTCTCCTCCCCCCTCCCTACTCCATCTCTCCCTCTTCCCTCTAGCGTCTCTATCAGGCATCCTAACCCCTGTCTTTCATAGAAGTCGACTTTGCCCATTCTTTTCACCTTTAGGGGGGGTGGGGTGAGGGGCACCTTCCACTTTAAGAGCGCTCCAACAACAGGCCCGATAAGCCAAGGGGAGCCAACACTACTTCCCAGCCTCTCCAAGTGTCTTTAGTTGAAGGCTGATGAACGCTGGGTACTAGCAAACCCGAGGGCGAGGAGAGCTAGGGAGGAGGGACTCTCTTGGGGTGCGGTGGGGGAGGGAGAAAGGAGAGAGGACGAAAGAGGAAGAGAGAGCAAGAGGGACAGCCACTGCTGTGTGAGTTAGATAATCAGCAAAAATTAAAAAGGAAAAAAAAAAAAACAGTAGCGACTAGGCAAGAGGATTAAAAAAAAAAAAAGGCAACACGATTGTAGATTGGTATGTGAGCATCTCCGCTCTCGCTCTGCGGGCACCCGAGAATCGCGATGCAGCATCCTCTGACGGGGGCCACCTGCGTGGCACTCCCCAACGTGGGCATGTGTCCCCAGCTCTCGTGTGCCTTGACTTTTATGTACTTACAGCAGGTAAGACGCGCGGCTCTTTCTCGGTGGCGGCAGCTCCTTCTCAGCTTGGCCAGACTGGGTACCGCTTCAGTGGGCTGCGCGTTGTGGGGGGGAGGTGTGCGGGGTTGGGGGGCTCAAGCACTGGGACGAGATGAGGTTGGGTGGAAGCCTCTGGTTTTCCGTCAAGCCAAAAGCTATTTTAATTCACCTGTCTGAATACTTTGTGAACACCGATTTCCAGCCTCAGGGACCGGGAATTTGAAAATAGAAAAACTGGCTTTTTCTTGTGAGCATCTTTTCTCATGTCAGAAGTCCCAGAGGTGAGGGGAGGGAGATCCCTAAGATATTGAGAGAGTTTGGGGCTCTGTGAAGACCTCCTGATGCCTGTAGTTTTAATTCAGCTGTTTTAATGATTGACACAAAGTGTGCATGTACTGTGCAAGTATGTTTGTGTGCGGGTGTGTGTGTGTGTGTGTGAGAGAGAGAGAGAGAGAGAGAGAGAGAGAGAGAGAGAGAGAGAGAGAGAGAAAGAGAGAGAGAGAAGAGATCTTTGTTGAGTTTGTCTGTGGTATTTATCCATTCCACAAGAATCAGAACATTGGGATTTCTGGAGCTTGACAGCCCCCAACCCAATCTTCTTTGAAACTCCCCAGCAGTGGGTGGGCATGGGCAGATGCTGTCTTGACTGGCCTGAACATAGGGTGGTTTTGTTTGCTTGGTTGGTTGTTTCTGTACCCCAGGCCTGTCCACTCCCTGGCAGTGGTCTTTCCCGGATGTCTGTTGGCTTCGTTCCCACCCAGTCCACATCTGTGAATTTTTGGATTTGGTTCTTGCTCTGAGTGTCTGCTCTGGGCCTCACTGGGTCTCCTCCTCCCTTACTAGAAAGGCTTCTGCCCTGTCTACTACTCCAGGGCTTTGGAAACCACCTAACACTGTCCTGTGGGGAAGCAGGCCGGGCTGTGTCATGGGGCGGGGTCTGTGGCTGTGAGTTGGCGAGATTAGAGGGTTTTTGTCTACTGCTGGGAATCCATGACCTCACTACCTCTGTTCTGTCCTATGAAGTTTTCACTGGGGGTAATCCTTTTGCCTGCCTTTCCATGAATTCATTTTAAGGACATGGTTGGTTACATGTGTGTGTTAACCAAACTTCCTTTCAAGAGTTGAAAGGAGCCCCTTGCCTCCAAGATATCCCACTCTAATTTATGCTACAGGAATATATGTCTTCATAAAATGTCAGGGGTTCTGGTTTGAACATTTGGGTAATTTGTTATCAGCTTGGCTGCCAAATTTTTCTTCCGAGTATTTACTGCTGCTAGTCTTTTTTGAGAACAGCCCCTTAAAAAACATCTTGTGAGTAAATCCGTTTATACTTGTATTTGTATTATTTTGTTTCCCATTTAGTAATAATACCAGGAAGCATCTCTTAGGTATGTATTGATAACATTATTGATAATATATGATTCACCAGCTTCTACTATTTCCTTGCCTCAGCTGTGAATGTGTGTCAAGTGCCTGTGTGCGTTTTACATCAGTTACCACTGGAACATCCCAGTAAGCATTTCTTTAGTTGCTAAGCCTCAGCTGGATTGAATCAGATTATTAGAGTAACTGTTTTTTTTAATCCTATATTCATGTCTTTCATTTTATTTGTGAATCAACTGAAATAATGTTATTTAAAACATAGAATGTTATAGGTGCTCAGTACTTTCTGTGTTTTTGGTGCTTATGTGTTGATTAATCTGTATTTCTGCTTCATCATTAAACTGGTTTGCTCATTGAAGAACTGAGGAAGGAGGACAGTGGCTTTGAACAAGAACCTATTCTTGCTGTGAAAACGATGAGTGTATCATGTGGCACCAAGGCTTTCCCACTGTGGGATGCACCTGCTATGGAGAGGGAGCCTCACAGGAAGTGCTGGCAGCCATAACAAATATTTAGAGGGGACTGAATCAACAGCACAGCTCCCCAGGAAGGTAGATGGAGGATGGGTTTTGAAATGAGGTCTCAATGTGTTCTCCCCTTGAATCAGTGCGGCACAGGTTCAGAACAGCTGTGAGTGACGGAAGTATGCCTCTTACTGAGGTTTACTAAAATTCGGAAGTATAAACAGGCAGACATTTCTTTTTGCTTATCCTGTTTGCAATCAGGGTTTTCAGCTGCCACCACTACCCTTTCCAAAAACTCACTGTCAGAGACCTGTGCCTTGGGGTCATCTCTTCTGGCCTTTTAATGCCATGATTCAAAGTCAAGGTCAGACAACTGGCTGATTTAGAGAGGAGACAGTCCCTTTAATCTCCACAGGCCACATACCAGTCCAGACTACACGTCTTCTGCCCGTGTGGAACCGCTATACTTTTTTTCTGCTATTAATCTATAGCTGGTATTACATATCCATGTGTTTGATGAACAGAGAGGTAGTTCATACTTTCAAAGCAAATTGATCAAATAGATGAATGAATCGTGCTTTATTTATGATTAGCAATACCTTCATTAGAAGCATTTCATTTTGTATGTAGAAAAAAGGCATGTGCCATAAACCACTGTCATCCTCATTATCAGTTTACATATGAAAATAATTAAAATCTTCTTATCTTTTTTGAAACATTTCTCATCCTGTTTTTATCCATGCACATGGTCTCACGTGTTTGGGATTCCTGGATTTTCACTGAAAGGTTTTATCTTAGATTGAAGTCTTGTACAAGGACTATCTCCTATCCAGCACTCAAGGAAAATGACTCTGTTACATGCTTTCCTTGGCCTTGGTATTAACATCCCATTCCTTCTTAAATACTCTCAGATTTGTCCTTAAAACAACTCACGAAAACACCAAATCAATTAGGATGCTTCAGCCATGGGAGCACATACTAAATGTTCAAGTGAAAACAACATAACCCTTTTGCTACAAATAGCTTATTTATTCAGACCAAAAAAGTGGTGTCTTCAGTGTTTGCATCATTTGATGTATTTTGTATCATTTGTTTACATTTTCTAATAACTTGCTTTTAGAAATTCATCTATACCTATACATGAATATTTTCCTAAAGTTTATGATTTCTTCTTTTTTTTTCTATTTTCTCTGTCTTCTCCTCCCTTTTCCTAACACCGAAGCCATTACTGTAGTTGGGAAATATGAGATGGGATAAAGCTTGGTAGCCCTTTTGGCATCTAAATATTCCAGCCAATGGCATCATCACTGGCATGTCTGCACATGTACACATATGCACACTTAAACACTGCTGGCACATTGCATGGGTTTACAACTGTAGCCTACTTCTAGAAAGAAAGGATGAAGGGCTGCAGAAGCAGCTGCTTTTCTTCTCACTGTTGAGGTGAGGGGCGTGCTTCAACCTTGGGTCCTGATGCACTGCAGTGGTCCTTTTCTGTGACTCCTTTGACTGACGGTGACAGAGTCCCACAGTTCGACTTCCCAGTGCAAAGCCTTTCTAGAGCTCCTAACTGGGTACTCATTTAAACATCCTTATGTTGAGGGAGAATTCTGAATTCCAGTTCCAAATTTGGAGCTTATTATCAATGAGATCAAAGGAGAATCTATTTTGTTTGCTTAATAGAAAACAATACGCGCATGCTCATACTCTCTGTCTCTCTGTCTCTGTCTGTCTCTCTGTCTCTGTCTGTCTCTCTGTCTGTCTCTCTGTCTCTCTCTCTCTCTCTCTCTCTCTCTCTCCAAAATTCTTCTAAATCAAGGGAAACAAACATCAGACACCCATTTCTTCATAGGGAATGCTGAGGACGCAGGCAGGACAGACACTCAGGTTTGTTTTCTAATTTACAAGTCATGCCCCAGAGCTCCAGAGCTGTATTGTGCATAGAGTTCCAACTCTATAAAGAAAACCAGTAGCATATGAACTGCTCCTTGTTCCTACCCCACCCTCACTGTCTTCAGTTCTGTTCCACGAAGCCTTCTCATCTGTCAAGTGCTGTTCACTCCCAACCTTTTAATCAGCCCAAATTTAACAACGAGTCAAATACTTAAAATCCACATTAAAGAGGAGAGGAAAAGGGGGCCTCTAAAGTGGCCCACGCCACTGTCAATATCCAAAGATGGGTCATTTTTCCCCACCTAATGGTGATGCATGAGCTTTGTTTTAAATAGTGAAGTGGTTTGTACAAAGGGTAATTCCTGGTAAATGAAGCCATTGCTCATGGTGGACACCTTCAGATCGAAAGCAATTGAACTGAAACCCGCACATCAGCCCTTTCTGTCTTTAATTAGAAAGTGCTGCTCAGTGTAGAAACTCGCTGGGGTAGAAGGGCTCTCTCGTGGAGGTTGGATGGTGGTGGTGGTGCGGGGGCTTGCCTCTATGCACCAGCCGTGGTTATAAATTTGGGACACATTAGGTAAGGCATAACAATTATTGCTGCGTAGGAAAGTTCAATTCTCATCGCGGTGACTCCCCTTGCGTCTCTCCATTTGCTGATTTATGGAGGGGACAAATGACACCTTATCACATTCTTTCTTCTTGGCTTAATCCCACACTGATTTATTAGATAGTGCTGTGGATTGGGGGTAGTCAATAGTGTCAATAATGCAGAAAAGAATTAGGATAGATTATCTTCATGTCTGAATTGTTTAAAGGGATCTAAGTGGCTGGAATGAGCACATTTGTAGGCCTGGTTAGATGTTTGCCATGAGATGTCTGCCTGCCTCTGTCTTCAGGTATTGTCTGCTATAAATTTTTTGATTAACAAACCCTGCTGTTTTTTTCTGATTTTTTTCTAAAGAAAGAGAGAAGGTATGTGTGGTGGAACTGTTCTGAACAGGGTGAGGCCCAGCATCCAGTGGACTGGGTGCTTCTTTGCCTTACCCCCATGGAGAAAAAGGTATCTTGAAATGGGCTTCACTCCTTCCTGTTGACCGTAAGGTTACCTGGACTGCCTCTTCGTTAAAACCACTTAAAGCGATGTTCATTAGTGGAAACCATAATGCATCTGTCTGTCCACAGACGGGCGTCTCCTGTGCCATCCCTCTCTGCCTGCCATTTCGTGGTAGGTTGTGTGTCAGAACAAGCAAGCCAGCAGCTCTGCCTGAGCTGGGAATGGAGAAAGCCCATGCCATTAGTGCTCACACACCATCTGTTTTTCTTACAGCCGGCCCTTGAGTGATTGTCCGGTAGCTGATGTGCTGAGGGTAGACAATTGTTTTTTAGGGGGTTCTGATTCATTTCACCAAGCTCCCTGCCCCAAGAGAAAACATAATGCTTGTTTATTCATATTGGCTGGTAAAAAGCAGTGTACTTTATCAGGCAAATCATAGTCTTCTGGAAGAGAAAGACATTGTGGCATAGTAAACAAAATCAGGTTGGCGCATCTGTGCCTAAGGGGGTTGGTGATGGGCATGGGGTATCATCCTGAGAAAGAGACAGGGCTGGCACACATGGACGTAATTGTCCCATCTGCAGAGACTTCTTTAATGGACAGGGAGAGGTGTCCCAGTGTGCTGCTTAATTCAA